TTCTGGAAATACTCCTTCCAATATAGATTTATTGACTATTGCCACTATCGTTGATAAAGAATATGGAAGCGTTAGTTTTAACATCAACATGGAGATGCCATCAGTTCCGGTCGCATTAGTAGCTGTAGAAGCAATTATACTTTTCACTAACGTTTCATTTACAGCTACAAATTGAAATTCGATTTCAGAGTGTTTAAGTGATTCGATTTCTTGAATAACACTTTTGTCGGGAGGTGCACATGATATGGTGTTTGTAAAGTGATTAATAAGTGAATCAGGATCAAGAAGATGGTCTGGTAGGGAACGATTTTTTACGGCAGGTGAAATTATTCGTTTTATGTGACGCCACATCTGAGAAGGATTTGACCTATTATTATTGACAAACCTAGTAAAATATGCCTGCTTTTCTAGAGTAACTGCTCGGTTATAATAGTTGCGCAGATCGCGGTAAAATTGCATACTACTTTCCGATTTTATAGTTTTGGCCCGGTGGCAAGCCTTGTCACGAATTGACTTCATTTTTCTAAGAGTATCAGTCATCCATGGGGCAGGGGGTAGTTTAAAAGTGCTTTTACGAACAGGGGCGAATGAGTCCATCAAGTCAATGACGAGATTGTTAAAGGTATTTACCATATTATCGATACCATCTTGTACTAGTACCAGCTCCCATGGCGTGTATTTAGCAGCATTGTTTATAGCAATTGTGTTCTCAGCTATAGGTCTGTATGAAATTATACGACATTTAGATTTTTGAATCGCGAGCGGAAATTTCGCTGAAATCAGTCCATGATCGCTAAGATCATCATTATGTGTCACTTCCACAGAAATGGGCTTAAGATGTGTCCTAGTAAAGATAACATCAATCAGGGTACTCGTAGTAGAAGTGACCCGTGTAGGCTGGTTTACGATTTGATGGAGGTTAAATGTATCAGTAAGGGTCTTGAGACAATTAGGCGTAAATGGAAGGCCGTCGTTGTTTAGACAATCAATGTTCAGGTCACCAACAAGAAATAATTGATCATATTGTGCTATAAAAAACGAGAGAGACTCGTGCAAACAGTCTATGGCTGAACCAACACTCACTGATTCAGGACGATACGCCGAACCAAATACAGCAGTCTCACTACCTATTTTAACATTAAACCATATCTGTTGAAGTTCCCCAGGGGGGTGATCTAAACGCTTTGCACGTAAGTTAGATTTTATATAAGCACCAACACCACCACCACGACCAATACGAGGGTTGTGCAGCAGTCTGTAGCCGGAAATTGAATACATGTCAATATTGGAACTATAATGAAGCCAAGTCTCGCTAAGACATAGTATATCAAGATCCTTAATTTGGATACTTTGATTAAGTTCCTCAAAACCGGTATTTAGCGAACGTACATTCAAAATACCTAATTTAAAATAGTTTCTTTGTTTTCCTTTACCCATAAAATAATATAAGCTTTTATCAAAGTAAACTTAAACCAAGTGAACACAAAAATAAAATAAACAAATAAATGGAAGATATGACTAAACTAGGTTAACTAAGCAATCAAGGTTTTTGATGAGCACGGGAGTAGCACCTTCAACTTCGCGAGCGTACACATTTCCTCTTTTGACCCAAATAAACTTAAAATTTTTCTCTCTACTACTCTTCTAGCCTCTCTGAATAATGCTTTACAATCAGGTGAAATATGTTCAGAGACATATATTTTATTAGTAGCACCATTAATATTTAGGTGTTTCGAGTTTAGTTTGCCACTTTGAGTTTTATTAAACTTATTAACGGCTTCATGGATACGATCACGAATACGCGGCGATGTCAGTGTCACTAATACGGAACGGGGCCTGCTCGAAGATTGATCCATCTTAGCCACACGGCGACAGGCACGAATGTCGCTATCCGCAATTGGCGAGTTAATTGTGTTGCAAAGGTTGTGAAATAATCCAAACAGATCCTCGCTGGCCTTTTCCTGTATGCCGTTAATTTCCAAGTTATTGTCTCTAGAGATTTTTTCAATGGTAGACAGTCGACCATGGAGGGTATAAACTTCTTTTTTAAATTTTAAAGTCTGAGTCTGTAAATCTTTAATTTCTTTGTCTTTTTGTTCAACCTTTACTTTCAAATCCGCCTGTTCAGCAGCTAAAAAGTCAGTAGCTTGCATCAGCTCGTTTTTGAACTCATAGAGGGCTAAATTAATCTCCTGAGATATTATTGTTTTGATATCCTCCAGAATAGTCAATCGTAATTTGCGAAAAATTGGTGATGTGTCCGATAATTTATTATCAAGCAAGTCGCCGATTTCCCCTATAGTTGCTGCTAGAAGGCTGACCTCCCGCCTGTTGGAATTGGCGCCCACTTTAACATTTAAATTACTTGCCAATTCTTCTGTCTCCTTCTCCATACAGCCTTCTGAGTACATTGTGTTGCCGCGAATGGGAGTGTTCTGGTTATCACTCTTAGGCTGACGATTTTTACATGCATGACATATCCACACAGCTTTACGTTCTTTGTCCAACGAAATGAAAGTTTTTTCACTAATCGTGGCACAGTCCAAATCATATTTTAGTTTACATGAACAACAACACATAAACTGTCGATTAGTTATTTTATTCTGACAACCAGCACATTTCCCAGTAGAAGACATCTCGGTTCGTTTAAAATAATTAAAAATAAATCCTAAACCGTTCAGTAAGCTCAAGCGATAAAAGCGCTTATTGGGAAGCGAACGACCACTGCACTGTTGTCGACGCAGAAGCATGCAATAATTAAGTAAAAAAGTATATGCTTACTTTTTACGAATCACAAATTAATTCACTATCACTAATAGACTATTTTAATGTAATTTTTCTCTGCTTTTAAATGATATAAATTAAAACATTAGATATTAGATATTTATATCGAAAATATTAAATGATGACGGAGCAAAGTAATATACGTGTGTTTCACAAAATACCCGTGAAATAAGTCGAATCGAAACTTGGCACTTCGTAGCAAATGTATGCAATCTTTGTAAAATTAACTGGTATCACTGCAACCGAAAGTACAGCAATGTAGTGATGTACGCCACAACTTAAGCTATCGATAAGTTAATTAACCCATTCGGGTTTGTCTGTCGATCAGGGTTTTATTTTTGTTTAGATTTTGTAATATAGAATTACAAAAAATAGTAATTTTTTCTAATATTGGCTTAATAATAATAACCACTAGCACGTCCGTGGAGAGTATAGTAGCCAAACAAAATATGCTGTCGTCCTTCAGGTATAGTATATTATCCAAAACGACATGTTGTAAATATTGCCATCTAGTTTAAAAATGCCGAAATAAATGAACGTTGTGCTTGACAAAAATGATTATCTATGAAATACTTCACTAGAAATAACAGAAGAGGGCAGTGTTCGGTGCTGGGTGCATACAATTAAAAATAACATCTTCAGTCCTATTATAACGTATAAGTATATCATATTGTCAAGAAAGTGTTTCGGAGCACCAGCGATTATGTCGTAAGTATTTCGTTTTTTTTAACTTAATTGTTAGATTATTGTACATCAAAATGAACTTTAGAATTTGTACTTTGTGCTAATAGGTGCTAAAGTTTAACGTACTAAATCGGCTCTAATTTGAACTTCAAAATATTGTTGTTACCAAAATAATGACTTCTTTGTAATTCACAGTCGCTAGTCGTCTTGTTTATGATTGTAAAGTAAAATAAAGTTACAGCCTATATACGTCCCACTGCTGGGCACAGGCCTCCTCTCATTTCTGAGAGGGTATTAGGGCAAGGAAGTGTCCACCACGCTGCCCCAACGCGTGTTGGCGGACCTCACAAGTCTTCGAAATTTTTTTTTCTTATTTCTCAGACATGCAGTTTTTCTCACGATGTTTTTCTTCACCGCCGAGCACGTGGTAAATTAGCACTTAAAATTGCAATTAACAATTTCATTGGTGCCAGCAGGGATCGAACCCGGTTTGCTCGCGTACTGTGCAATTTACAGCGAGCGCTAACCATCTGAGCTACCACGGCTCACGGCGGTTTATGATTGATTTACGTGTTATTCAGTGAAGTAATAGTGATTAAATTTCTAATAAATATACTCATACACTTTTTTTTAGTTAAAAATATATTAAAATGTCAAAAGATTCACAATTAATATCAATGTGTTCTTCAGGTTTTTTCGTATGGCTAGTGCGGTATCCAGGGACGCTACAACAAAAGTTATACATAAGGGTCTTTAGAAACGATGAAGTGTGTTTTCAATATTTAATACTGCTTGATGTTATCTCACGTGTCCTATTTTTGTTGTAGTATATTGATTGTATTGATTCATTTTCACACTTGTTTAGTGTTTCGAAAATCGTATTTGCACACTTTTACTGTATATGAAATTTTAATGTTTTTGTATTTTTGGATTATTTGCCTTTTGTGTTATTTTTTTTTGTTATTATTATTTCAAAAGTCAACAATTTATTCCTCGGAACTAATGCAACACATTATGAAGTTTTTGTTTCTCCCATAAAATTTACTTTGCTTAATACGATTTTTTTTTCTTCGGGGACGTCGATTTAGTAAATAGTTTTTTAATCTTATCGTTTTAAGCCAAAATTATAAATCAATAAAATATTTTATCACTTATTCGTATTTCATTCAACCTTATCGTGTAAAGAAAACCTTAGGCGGACGGCTATCTTCTTCAATTTGAACGACGCGCGATGACTCGGCATCGGCAATTGTCAAAAGGCCGCCGCAAAATTGCACGGAGAATGTATTTTGATTTGATTAGCTACTTAGAATATATTCAAATATCAAGATATTAGCACCATATTAAAGGAAAATGAATCTAGTTTTTTTAAAGTGTTGTGTTGGTAAAAATTACTATATTTCATGCTTACGAAACAAATTTATGGAAAGTTTTTTATTTTCCACTCAAGAATTGACGTTAAACATTTGAAAAGCCACTTGAGATGTTTCTTGGCGTAAAAGATTCTAGGAAGGCCGATTTGGTAAGCTCTGCTATATTATAGATGGGTAAAGTTTTTCAAGACCAAAATTTCGAATATGCCAATCGTTAAAAACTGTTTTCAATCTGCTTTTAAAGGGGCCAAAAACGCTAACATTCAGTGGTTGTAGTTTGTGGGATGTGTGTGGCGGAAGTGATAGATAAACGATTCCATAGTCGCGACAAAAAATCACTGCTTGAATTGAAATATGTGACTCGTGGTTGTCACATATAATCAAAATTGGATTATCTTTGGTACATGATGTGTGCCGTTGAATATGTTTGAGAACATCAACGTGCAATTCTGCCGTCATCCAGCCACTTATGTTTGATAAACCAAGACTTCCAACCGGAGTGCCGTTTAAAAAATGGTCTTTGAAATGAACACGAGGAAAGACATAGACAGGAGGAAGGGCAACACCTGTTGCAGTTACTATTCCGCAAAATATAACTAGCTCTCCCCTTTCTGCAGACATCATTTGTTCTACTTGCCTCTGTGTCTTTTCAGCCAGAACTTTAGGTGTAGATAAAACAGTAGTTACTCCAGTTTCGTCAAGATTGATGATCCGATCGGGAGCAAAATTATACCGCAGCATTACACGCTCATAATTATCAAAGAAATTATTCACTGTTGTTCTATTAAATGCGAAACTTCGTGCTGCGCTTGTGTTTTCTGTCTTTCTGGGGGTAAGCTCCTGGTTCCTCATTCTAAATCCTCTTGACCAGCCTTTTCCAGCACATTTATTTTTCTTCCGTGATTCTGGGTATTTACAACCTGAGTATTCGGCAAATTCATTGGCCAAAACCAAAAGTTGCTGTAAGGACAACCCGTAGTGCATTTTACTACAGTTTAACAAATATTCTGTAAGAATCTTCTCTTCTTGTTTCGAGAATACTTGAGCAATAGTGTATTTAGAACTGTATGATTGAGATGATGATGCTTGATTATCTTCAAAAGCTTTTCAAAATTACTCGATACGATGTTGCAGCTTGCAGTGTTGCAGCTTTGATGTTATACTTACCAGCTGCAATTCGTATAGATAATTTCTTCGATATAACGTCGGATATGGCAGAATTCATATTTTCTTCGTTTATATTGCATCGTTTGGTATTTGGTTTATAGGTTCGCATCAATTATGAAAAAAAAAGCATCGCTAAATTAATAAATAGTAATAAAAATTTAAATTGGGGTACAATGATATGCCTCAAAGTGCCCCAGAGTTTACCGTATCATTGTGCCCTAACAGAAGTTTTTGTAAAAAGTTAATGTCATGTTTATTTATGTTGATTTATTGAGCTAAAAGCATTAAACTCCTATTTATAGATGGAATAACTCACCTATAGTATGTATAATAACTTCGAAGAAATTGTAGAAAGTGAGTAAATCTCTTTTATATTCCACGTGTTTTTTTAGTCGGGCGAACACAACTCACAAACTATCTCGTCTAACGTCGGCTAACTGAATGGCGGCGCGGCCACAAGTGCTGCGCTAATGCATGCATAGACAAGTTATAGTGTTGTCACGACTCGATTACATCTAATCGGTTTTGATATATTTTAGGTGAATCAATCTGCCCCTTGCTTCAATCTGCCCCGCCTCCCCATACCCCTATAAACCTTAACATATAATATTTATTTACAGTATCTAGGTATTTAAAAAAGTGCTTTGTCTGTGTTCACAGTATGCATATTTTTGATAATAATTAAAGTAAACTGGTCTGTGGTTCACATTCACAGCTATATACTAAAAGGACTACTAAGAGTAGACTACGCATGCTATAATATATTAATATATATTGTAGTCTTTGTTCACAGCACAGATTAAGTTAGACCCACATTCCACAAGTAAGATTAACTTAACTTTTTGATATCTTTGGATGCGTTCATAATTACTTATTTTATCCAAATATATATTGCGTTCAAATTATCAACCAAATACGACCGGTTGTTTTTGCGTCTGCCAACAGCAAAAAAATATAATAACATGCGGTATCTTACCACAGCCAGTTTAGGAACTTTAGCCCTATAAATAGTTCTTGAATCAGATGAATCACTCCGATTTGAGAAGTTTTTGGATCGATTCATCGAATCGATGGGGTACTCCATATCGATCTAAAACGAATATTTTACGCCAGATAATCGATTTTTCGATTTAAGATTGACATGCCTAGGCGCGACGCGATTGCAGATACGACAGTGACTTTTAGTCAAGTTTCCCAACTACGTCTTTTGGCGCTGCAGTCGCCCAATTTGACAGATGAGTAATGACTATACAATTTAGTATAGCTATGTATAGCTTAGGGATTGCAAGCACATCCTTCAAATTATCGATATCGATGTTTAGTGGTGTTCTTATTCTATCGATATCGACATAAGTGCATTATACAGGTATAATATGAAACAATTATAATACATCTAACTTATTTATTTTTTATTCAAGCACACCAACATCATATACATACAAACGTAATCTTAGGATTAAATTAAAGGTACATTAAGTTATATAAACAAATTCGAAAATTGTGCATAACATTTTACATAAATAAGTACAATTTGACGAGAAACAGAGCAATATTTATAATTCATTAAATAAAGCAAATTAAACCACAGGAATAATTTAAGTGCTTAATATTTTACTTTTCAAGTTATTTTTTATTAGAAGCAATGCTATTTATTTTTCATCTGGGGTACACCTGGCCATTCTTTTACAAAAATTAAAAAAACATCTTCTCTTTTTAATTTCATTTTCTACACCACGTAACCTGAAAAGAAATAAATAAAAATAAAGTCCAATATTCATATTTTATGACTTAATGATAATCATAAACTATATATTATTTACATTAAGGTAAAGGGTGACTTCATGGCAGTTTTTATCAGTCAACCCATGGTGTGGTGAAAATAAAGTGGTAGATGCAGTAAATAAGAAATAAAAAACATATAAATATTAACATGGTATACATCTATTATCAGGAGCTTTCTCAATGTCTTCAGGCACGGAGTTTCAAATAAGTGTAACCTTAATACTAAAGGAGTTGTTGATAAAACCATTGAAGTGTAGTGGAACTGTAATCTTTAGATTAGATGAAGAACAAAGAACTCTTATCGTGATTTGAGGATAGATATGCTAAATATAGATATAATGGATATGTTATCTTATCTTACCTAATTATATCTAAGAATAAACTGAATTTATCATACCTTTATGCCAATGTGTACATTTTGTTATCTTATGGCAAATTTGTCTCACCACATCAGCATTAGATTTCTATTCCTGAAAACAAACAATATTTGTGAATTTTATGTTCTTCACCGCAGACCATGTGGTAAATCAGCACTTAAAATTGCAATTAACAATTTCATTGGTGCCGGCGGGGATCGAACCTGGGTTACTCGCGTTCTGTTATATTTACAGCGAGCCTTAACCACTGAGCTACCACGGCTCACTTCTTGAATGTTCTTAAACATAAACCCAAAATTAAAGAATAAATATATAATGTTATACTTCTGTATTGTATGTATTAATGCTGTATGGCTCCTGTTAACAACAGTTTAATATAATCGTCATTAAAAGTGATCTATATTATCATATAACTAAGTTGTATGGCAATTGTATGTGGTAGAGCCATGCTGCAGGTATATTAGTAGTATAAACAATTTGTTATTTAGAATTTTATTATAGCTAGTTGTGTAATTTAATTCCCTTTATAATTTTTTTTAATTATGATCAATATAGTGTAATCATACTTTAAATTAATGGCAAATGTAACACTTAACTCACAATAAATATATTGAACTTATTTAAGAATATTTTGACTTCAACCTTTTGTAATTAAACTATTAATAGCTTATGTACCTACATCTTACAGCTAGACTAATATTATTTTATGAAGACTGCTATATAGCTAGTTTTGTTGTTAAATACAAGTACTTACTATAACTAAGATTAAACCAAAAATATACTAAATATACCTTTTTATATCAATCCTACATAATAAGTTTTAATAGGTATAAAAAGATAATTATAATTATCTCAACCCACTAAAGAGCTAGATAGAAAAACAAATTTATAAAAAAGTAATTTGTAACAAATCATTTACTCTGATTTGTACTGCTAACTCGAGTTACGTGAATTTCAACTCGAGTTAAATCAATTCGTAATTTTTCCAAGTTGGCACATCTATAAGATCAGAATTCTTAATATTCACTTCACTTAGTTGTTGTTGTTTTAACTTTCATTAATCGTTTCACCATATCGTTTCATTATCAACCACAGCTTTTTTGGTGATTTTTTACTGATCCTGCATTTATATATTTAAGTAATTATAGTGAAAAATAGCCTGTAACTGTGTAATAACAGTGAAAAATCACCTGTTACAGTGCAGCCAGTTAGATAATCTCACTTTTACTTATTCTACAATAACTCAGTTCCTACATTAACAAATCTTGCGAGATTTTCAGCTATGAATTGTCTATATAGTATATGCTTACAAATGGTCGCACTTTTATCTTGTTAATACTTGGGCCCAAGAATGTATAGAGACGTGTCCTTCTACTTTAAGTACCATGGTTGAAAGTAATAAAATGACTCACCTGTTGCAGTCAGAGGCACACCATGAGCTATTTCATTGTCAGTAAGCAAGGACGGGTAAGAGTACCAGTCTTCTTTTGCCGTCATTGTCGAACTGAAATATATCAAAATGTTTTTCACAGACACGTTTGTTAAGTAACTGTTCTTTGGAAAGTAAAATGAGCTGGGGATTTGTCGGCACTATGAAAGACATCCACAAGTTTCTTAAATTATCGTTCCTAGAGAATCTGAAAAGCCGGTGCATGCGTTACACGTATTGTATTGCAACCACCAATACACAGTACGATATATTACTTTCCCCTATGCACCAATACAACACTTTTCGTTTACCATTATGATGGTATATGCAATGTTCACACGAGCAGCACAAAAACAGAATATTGTAATAATTGAGGAAAATTTGGATAAATGGCGGCAATCAATATCGATAATTATGATTTTTGACAGTTAATCACAGAACACTATAGGAGTAATGGGTGCGTTTGGCAGAAAAAAGCGCTAGCAAGCGCTTGTAAACAAAATGGCGATCGTAAGCGGTAAGTGCTGTCAAAGCGTAAGTAGCTATTTTCCTCTAGGACACGATGTTAGTTTTAACCGGGGGAACCTAACCTAATTTAAATATATGTTTGTAAAGTATTCATATTAAAAACTTACCAATCATGAATTTTTAATAACATGTATATGTTTATTCATGTCATTATACTACTTAAAAACTAATATTGCACAAAACAACTTATAAACTCTACTTCAAAACAAACAAATTAAATAATCAAAATGGTGGATATTGTCAGCGCTACTGAAGTAGCAATCGTGTCCTGGCCGAAAACTATTTTAGCGCTTGTAAGCGCTTGCTAGCGCTTTTTTCTGCCAGGCAGAAAAAAGCGCTAGCAAGCGCTTGTAAACAAAATGGCGATCGTAAGCGGTAAGTGCTGTCAAAGCGTAAGTAGCTATTTTCCTCTAGGACACGATGTTAGTTTTAACCGGGGAACCTAACCTAATTTAAATATATGTTTGTAAAGTATTCATATTAAAAACTTACCAATCATGAATTTTTAATAACATGTATATGTTTATTCATGTCATTATACTACTTAAAAACTAATATTGCACAAAACAACTTATAAACTCTACTTTAAAACAAACAAATTAAATAAGCAAAATGGTGGATATTGTCAGCGCTACTGAAGTAGCAATCGTGTCCTGGCCGAAAACTATTTTAGCGCTTGTAAGCGCTTGCTAGCGCTTTTTTCTGCCAAACGCACCTTAAGCGGGCTACATACGACACGATATCGGTGGCGATCTAGGGTGGAAAGAAATCGGGGCTTATATCGGGGCAGACCCTACACACGGGCCTGCCTAGCAGTACGCGTTCGGACTTGGAGCGGAACGCACATGCGGTAGATTTCTTCAAAATAGTTTCAATTCTTTTAAAACACCAACGTGTTGGTTTGGCATTAGCCCTCTCGGTTAATTTATTCGAAAATAGAAAAAGAGAAGTTGCTGGGTGAAAAAATGGCTCCAAAAGAGATAAAAATTAAGCCACATAAACGTACTAAATGGCCTGTAATCCAAGGACGTGATTAATTTTCTCCGGATGGATGAAGACAGTTTTTATAACCTTCTAGAAATGATTTCGCCACTTATATAAAAACGTCAATTTCTCCTACCTATGCTATTTAGTTATTTCTACTCTTTGTTCATTTCTGCTTTGGTCAAAATCTGGTTATGTATTACACACAACAAACAAGGAAATAAAATACTTTTGTATAATAATATGTATACTTTTTTTTTTAATGTAATCTTTATTTATGGAGTAAAACTATCAGAAAATAAAATAGCTTATATCTTTTTTTAAACATAAAGAAACCTTTAATTTCGGACATACTCCCTTTTATATAACTTGTTTGTTGATGTGGAGATGGTGAAGGAGTAGAAGTTAGTTGTTGATAAGAGGATGAAGGCACGTAAGAGATCGAAGTGTGGTCTTGTGGAGTTGTAAGAGATATGAGTGCGGTCTTGTGTTGATAGCGTTGGAATAGGAGTTAGTTGTTGAGGAGAGGCTTTATCTTCCCCTTACTTACATCATACACTCTACTTTACGAACGGCAATAAAAAAAAATTAGTTTAGTAGGCATTCTTGACCATGTCACTTCGCAGGGTCACAGGCTAGGGTGGATATGATTTGAATTTCGATAAAATTTCAATTAATTTATTTATTTTATTCACTTTTTTTTGGTTTTTTGTAAAATATCTGTGCCATAGGTTTCTACTCCGTTTATATGATTAAAATGTAAAAATTTTGTTATATAAAAAAAGGTCATTCAGTATCACTGTTTTGTTAACATCCTTCCGCGAGGGTTGCCGGCAGCGACTGCCAAAAGAAATCGGGCCGATGCGCCTACACACACGCAGTAAGGAGGGGGGCGGTGCCACGATCTAGGAAGCATCGGCTGATCTAGGAAGCATTTTTGCTCCTGCCAGCCGATTAAGGAGGCGATATCGGCCACGACTTAGGATGGCCCTACATACGACACGATTTAGAGGCAATCTAGGAGGCATCCCCACTACTCCACCCTAGATCGCCACCGATATCGTGTCGTATGTAGCCCGCTTAATATGTTCTGTGATTTAAAACACAATATGGCGTCTTAAAATGGCGTCCGTAGACAGAGGACAAATTGCGACGGTAGCGCCAAGTTGCGTAAAATGGAACTAAGCTGTCACGGGCCGATGCTTTTGTTATTGTTATATTATATGGTTATTATAAAAAAAGATAGTGAACAATATATATAATAATAGGTTTTAATTTTTTTGAATTATTTTTAAAGTTTCGCATTTTAATTATGTCCTTATAAAGTATTTTTATAAGAAAGTATTTCGTTAGGTAAACATGTAAGTACACCGAAAATAATAAAAAAAACCGTAATGCAGGTTATTGTTATTTGAAATAATTTTACTAATACTTTAAATTTGTTTTTCTTTTAGGTGTCTTAGCCCAAATTCCAATCTTGTTCAACGAACAATTGATTTAAATTATGCGAAACAGAAGAGAACTACCTCAATAAAATGGTTCTTCGTAAATGTTTTTTTCTTCCTTTTGTTCACCTATGATTTGTAAGTACTTCTTGTAAAATAACTGTAATTGTTTTGGCTTTAAACTTTCTAGATTGCACTGTCATGCTAGTATAAAGGTTGTCCTTTAATTTCTTTCGATATGTCATAAATAATGTGTCTATAATGGTCACAGCATCATCATCATTACAGCCCTTCACAACTCCACTGCTGAACATTGACCTCACCCAAAGAATTCCACAAAGCACAGTCCTGAGCCACTTGCATCCATCGACTTCCTGCATGTCTTACCAGGTTGTCACTTCATCTAGTGGGGTGTCGCCCTAAACTACGCCCATATGTACGAGGCTGCCACTCGAGAACCTTTTTTCCCCATAAGTTGTCAGTTCGTCGAGCTATTTGGCTAGCTCATTGCTACTTCAGCTTACTAATCGGTTGGGCTCTTTTGGTGACTCGGTTCTTCTATGGATATCCTCATTGCTAAGTTTATCACGGAGAGCAACCTTGACCTTGCACATCCTGTATGTATCCTGTCTCAGATCTGTAAATCATAGCTGGCAACACGCACTGGTTGTACAATCTAGTTTTTATGTTTTGAGGTATACCTGAAAGAGAAGATGTGTGCTAATTTATATATATATACTATATTATTTCTATAGTACTAAAGCCTTCTCGGAAACGGCTTGTTCGGTAGGCTGGAAGTCGTCGAGTCTGCGTGTGAGACGATTCGTAATGACACTCGAAAACAGCACTCTCTGTCTCTCACACTCTGTGTCACTCACAGTCTCAGAAGGGAAATTGGTCTGTAGTTCTTCAAGAAAGCATTGTTGCCTTTTTTGAAGAACAAGACCACCACACTTCCGCTCCGTGCCTCCGGAGTAGTGCCACAATAGAGCATGGAATTGAAGAGCTTCTGAAGGATTTTAAGTACCGACGTTCCACCCGTTTTCAGAAGCTCCGCTGTAATTCCATCCTCACCTGGGGCCTTGCTGTTTTTAAGGTCCTGGAGAGCCATTTTAATCACGCTTAGCTTGACGTCCGGGATATCATCGGAATAGTGTCAGATAAGACTTGCTCTTGGATCGTTACTCACACTTGCGTGTGGTTCCAATAATGATGTGTACAGCTGCCAATAGAACTTCTCAATCTCACTCAAAATCTCAGGTGTCCCAGAAACGATCCTGCCACATTCAGTCTTCAGCTTTGACAGTTGGCTCTTTCCGGCAGACAGATCTCTGGCAAAGACTTAAGAAGCCCTGGTTCTGCTCAATCGCTTCTTCAATACAAGCTTTATTGAAGTTGTGCAATTTCCGCTGCAGGTATTCTGAGATCTGTCTGTTCAGTTGCCTGTATGCTGTCAAATCTGTTGAAGACTGCAGCTTCATTTCCCATCTATCAGCCATGAGATTAAGAGTGTGATTGGAGAGTTTTTGTGTTCTTCTGCGGCGGGTCTTGCAGAACTTAGCTCTGAACACATGTGTCCATGTTTCAACAAGCTTATCATTCATATTGTTCACTACATTGCAGTCCTCTAGGCGCTGAAAATGATTTTTTAACTCGAGCTGAAAGGTTTCGGAACTTTAGATTAGAGCACGAGGGAGATGGAGCGTTGACTTCATTGGATGAGACCTCTGCAACTAATGTTTAAGGTCAGTGTGCCTCTAGTTTAGTTTAGTTTATGACGGGCTGTTTTTCGCAACTCCACGTCTAAGCGCGTATTTTGCGTGTGGGCAGGTATAATGTGGTTATTCGAACCATGATATTTCCCAGAAGAAGTTCAACAGTCCTTTGATGTTGCAAGCAACTTCGGGGAGCGATCCCAGTGTGCCGAGATGTTTAGCCCTGTATGAAGCAACTTCTGGACTTGTCAGCAACACGTGAGCCGCCGTTTCTTTCTCCCCCATGCATGCCCTGCACAGGGAGCTATCAGTAAATAAATGTTTGTTAAAAGAGCCATGTCCTGTGATAGCAATTGTTACTACCCTGATCTGTGGCTTGTTCAGTCTCATTATAACCTTGGTTAGACAACTGTTTATTTCAGGCAGGGCCTCCCTAGCTTGTCTACAGTCTACAAAAATTTTCCAAAGCTGAGCGTGTAAATTATTGAAGTATCTAGGTACCAGTGAACGAACATAGCCAAAGGGGATTGGTATTATAGGTTCCGGCCCTATAGTTGCCAGCGCCGATCCCCTTCTGGCCAGTTCATCTGCTGCATCATTGCCTCTAGATCCACTTTGTCCCCTGATCCATTGCAGAGTCACATTGTTGTGCTTACATACCTCATTCAATCATTGATGGCACTAATATATCAGTCCCGAGTTCGCTACATTGCAACTCATAGCTTGTAGTACTGCCATACTGTCGGTCAGTATTCTGATGGAGAAGTCTTTCACCTTCCTAGCATCTATTGCTATGGCCGCTTGGATGATACCCATGCATTCTGCCTGGTAGACTGTGGTACGGGTACCCAGTGGGGTGTATATGTGGATATTAAGGTCTTCAGAGGAAGCCCCAGACCCCATACCTTCATTTGTCTTAGAATTATCCGTGAAAACTTTGAGCTCTTTTGGTCCCAATCCTTCCAGCTGGTTAGTTTCCTTCAATTGTATCCTGTACTTATCTAATAAAAATTGGTTTGGGATCCTATCATACTTTGCTTGTAAGATAGGAATTTTTGATCTCTTCTTCCAGCTCCAGTATCTTCTCGTCAGTTCTGAGAGTGTGTGCGTTGTAAGTTGCCAGGTCAAGTTGTTTGAGGTGGCAAGCGAACCTTCACCAGAGATTCTTAGCACCCCCTGCCCCGTCGTTACCATGGTCGCCATCGTATCCAGAAATAGCGGGGCCGCCGGGGACTGGAGGTCGTCTACGTGTCGTTGCCCAGGGGGGGGGGGCGTATATTGCCATAGTTGCCACGCTTGATGAGCGGGTTGGCAACTGCAGTTTTTTTGTTGTACAGTTGCTGCTAGCAGGAAGATGCTGCTGCCCATCTCCTGCCTGCCTCCCTCTGTCACCTTCTACGACACCCACGGGAAGATATGGGGTAGTGGATATTCTTCACTGCTATTATTGTCGGTGTATTTACTAAAAATCTTTGATAAAATTAGATATTTTTTGATTAAAACTAATTTTACGGATTTTATCGCGTTTATTTTACTTTTAATTACTTTTATTTTTAATTCCCGACGTTTCGGGCGCTTTCCAGCACCCATGGTCACGGGGGACTGAGATGACTGACGTCCCGATGTCATTGTTAAACCCGGAGTACCTTCAGCTTTTTTAATTATTGTTTATGGTCCGATCTATGCAAAATGAACTGACTATGTCCTAAGGTCTTGCAGTGTTATGCTTGGGTTTAGTTTTATTGATTATAGGATCCCAAGCAAGTGGTAGTACCCAGCCTCCTTCTCTATTGAAATTAGGATGTTTTTTAATTTCAATAGCCTCACATATGATCCTTGGTAGGAATCGGTGTTCTTTCGCGAGGATTTGTGGTCTATCAAATCTGATGTAATGGTTGGGGCCGTCTAGGATATGATTGCAAACTGCAGACTTCCCGGAACGTTGATGCTTCACATCAGCTATATGTTCTTTTACGCGGGTTCTAATTGATCTTTTTGTTTGTCCTATATAAGAGAGACCACATTCACAATCAAGCTTGTACACTCCTGCATCTTGTAGAGGAATATGACACTTGAAGGATGGTAGGAACTAACTAATTTTCTTCGGCGGCTTGTAGAATGTTCTAATAGAAGCTCACTTCAAGATGTAGCCAATCTTGTCTGTGACACCTCTGACATATGGTAGTACAGCAGGCACACGCTCGACTGTGGCCGGCTTCGCTCGGTCACTGTGACGTAGGCGCGGGACTCGAAGCTCTTTGTCGTGCAGAATGCTGAAGCTCGGCGGCCAGGTGTTTGCTATCACAGATCCCTCATGCTCTCTGTAACAAAGATTTGCCCACGGTAGCTGCTGTGAAGGATGGTGGTGAGATTCACTGTTTAAATATTGGTTTGTATGGGTTTTTTTCCTATACACAGTGAGACCAATGATGTTGTTAGGATTTCGGATGACTAACACATCTAGGAAAGGTAAGGAATTAATATTCCCGTACATAAAAATAATAATAAATATATAGGTTACTTGTATAATAAAGATTAGGAAGAAACATATTTTCTTATTACTAAAAACAATACAAATTCAGCTTTAAGCCACTGCATTTTCAAGAAACCTTAAAAATTTATGACATTCTATACTTTGATTCCCCTGTGAAGGACCACTTGAATTCTTTTTCTGTCAATCTGAAATTTTTTCTCAAACTAATTATAAAAAAAAAATTTTTTGTTTTTAGGACATGTACTGGTCCTTGCCCTGCATCGTTGGCCCGTTACACAGAACTAGCTTTGGCAGGCATTGCATGCGCAAGTGCATTTCGACATGCAATCTGCCTCTTACCACGCAAAACTCCGCCTCCCGCACAGGTCTCAAGACAACAGCTGCGCCTTTTAGGACTCAACGAGACAGACCTAGGTTTGTTGATATTCCAACAATTTAGCTTCTGCATAATAGCAATCTTTGTGCTTAAAAGTTAGTGGAAATTGTTTATCAAAAAGAATAGAATAAGGGTAACAAATAAGCACACAGTAACACTGGATGGTAAGTGGATGTTATAGATGAAAAACTGCATTTGATAGTCTTCAATAAATGTGTTTGAGTGTATTTTTTTTAATAGTATAAGGATAACAAACGAGCACACAGCACACCTGACGGCAAGTGGATGCTGCAGCTCATTGACATCTACATTTATCCTCAATTGAGAGTCAAAATGTGATGCGTTGTCACCCTTGAGGACCAAGATGGAATGCCTTGTCTCCAGCAAAAGGGTCTCCGGAACTCTATACTCACCATACGAAACACAGCAGCATTAAGCTGCCATTTCACGCCGGTATTCTGTTAGAGCGTGGTCCGTCCCCGGTCGAGCCGACCCATTCGTGCTACAACTAATATAGCTGCAGCGTGGCTCTGCCACGTATGATCACTGGTAATTTGCATAAGATATTTTTTTGACTTTTGACACTCAATAACTGATTTTTGTCAGCCTGACCTGGGTATTTGAACCCACGACTTCATGATCTTTTATTTTTTATTCAATATAGATTATTGTATAATACTTATTGAAAGGCATTTTTTATTTACCACTGGTACGCAAAAAAACCTCGTGTCTTGGGATCAGAAGTCGCATTCACAATTACTAGATCAATGAGGTGGTTTGTGCTAAGTACGTATTTCATAATATTATCAAAGAAAATAAAAATGAGGATAAGGAGAGTGATGCATCCTGCGCATTCAGATCAGTGAAATGCAATCTTTTATTAAGTACCATAAATTACATATTTTCTATGGCCCAAAAAACCATACTAAATTAATTTTAGTGTGTGCAATAAATTGTTAAAATTACAATTCATGTGCTTACTATATATGCCACTCATACTTACATACTGTATTCTTAAACTATCTTTAAACTACGTAGCTATATGCTAATTTAACTATGAAAGACGACGTTCAAGTCGCAGATTGCGGTCTGTACATGTTTTATATATTTTTTTAAATCAACATCCAAACACTAGTAAATTTCAATTAGTGTTGAATAAATTCATGGGTTATTTCTATACGTTATTCTGGTAATGTGATTGCAGATTCGTCGCTGGTGTTGTCCGAGGCAAGCTCGTGCAGCGCGGCGGGCGCGGCCGCGGCCAGCGACGCCGAGCTGTCGCTGTCGCTGTCGCCGCGGCGCTGGTGCGAGCCCCCCGCCCCCCTCGCCCCCGCCCTCCCCGCCCTCCTCCCCGCACTCGCCATCCTCCCCGCCCTCCCCTCCGTCACCGCCTTTCGCGCCACCCCTCGACGTACTCTCACGCGACCGTTTCATTGCAGATAAATTTTCCCTCGCCAATTACCTTAAGTAAGTGTCTTATTTCTCCCCACTCTTAACTACAGGACCGGTATTTGCTGGAACATTCTAGATGTTTCGGTGAAAAAGGCCTATAATAATAATAATATCCTCCAGACCGAATTTCGGTCACGGCAGCCAGCCTCAATGAAGACTAGCCATCGGCGCAGGATAGGTTTATAGTGTCCAAGTGTATGCGCAAGAACAGGTGCACTCTCTATTCCCTCACTCTCATAATCCGATGGGACGGTAAACTGACACGACCAGAGAGAGACCAACGGCTTTACGTGCTTTCTGAGGCACAGGGGTGAGACACCGCCAACTTCCTAACTCCGGGCAGTTACTGAGAATTCCTTGACAGAAAACTCAATAATTGATTTTTTGGCCCGACCAGGGATTCGAACCCAGGACCTTATGATCAGTAGTTGCACTACTACAACCACTAGACCAACGAGGCAGTCAAAAAAAGGCCTATATAAAGCCTTTTAAAGCCGTGACCGGGGCGGTATTGAATTGGCGATACGAGCGAAGCTTTCGGAGCGAAATAAAATGAACATAAAGTGTTAAGTGTGATTAATTATTAGTGTGATTTAAGTTTTAATTGGTATTCGGTAATTAAAGTGTCAATTTTGGTAATTCAATCGGCGGTTTTTACTGTCACGAACCTTAAGCTGTAAGCTCGTAATAATAAGTTATGACTGAGTGTTGATGAGGTTTGCGCACCTCGTACTCAAAATCATCAAACAGTACTTGAAGTTTTTAGAAATTAATTTGCCTATTTTTGGACAACGAAATAAAATAATGTGTCCTACCGAGTACCCAGTATGGAGAGCACTTTTTACCACCGATCCCAGCACAACTACACTAGGAATGACACACCACCCTCGACAATACGACACGTGTTTCGCCTCTACACGAGGCATCCTCAGGTGATATAGAACCTGTGTCGGCGGACCACTAAGTGAGTGGTGACCTCCGACATACATTGCCTTCTGCGTGTACTTCTTTGCACGGCAGGTTTCGGGCCTCGAGCTTGATAACTTATAAAGTTATAAAATTTCTTTGAATGACACCTTAATTTATAACTTGAGTGTTAGCTGTCGTGTAAGCATTGTGCTCCCGTAATTTGATCGTTTAAAAATAGTATATTGGACTGTATCATATTAGATTTATCAAAAAAGTGGATAAAACTCTTCAATACGTCTGTGAGAGTGATATCAAGACATATAATACGCGGATTGGACTATATTATTACTAATCTTACAGTGAACTATCAATAACAATAAATCTGTTTAAATGTGCTATTTGTGTCGCAAAATAATAGTAAATAGATCTAATATACATTGTTAAACAGTGAGACAAATTAAAATAGAAATATAAAACAATAAAAAACTAAATTCGCATTTAAAGTGACGGTTGAAGGAAAATTTTCAACAAATACAAAACACTCATAACAAATCTGTCATTTATATCTGTTTGTAATAGAAGCACTATTTTGAGCGACCTAGTAACACGTCACGGTGGCGTATTGGCCACGCGTTCAAGTTGGGCCACTGAGACCAGGTTCAAATCTAACCTGTACATTTGACTTTTTGTGAATGTTTTAAGTTTCAATTCAAATTCTAAAAATTATAAACAAAACAAACATATAATAAAACTATAAATTATAAACTCGACAAAATGGATTTTCTGCAAAATATTACTTTCCGCCGTGCACGGACTCTGTCGGATTCAAATACAAAATATGATAACAGTTATGAACTAAACGAAACACTGGATGACAGCACAAGTAGATTACCGAATAAAAACGTATTGATCGAAAATAGCGATGAATTAGTGTCTAACTTGAAAGGACGAATTAAAGAACTTTTGTCCGAATTAAATAATGCTCGTCAGGAGATTGAGTACCTTTCCACAGAAAACAGTAATCTTAAACATATCAATGAAGAGTTAATGAAAAAAAATTATTCCTTAACAAATAACACCTGCAACCAATCACTTAATAAACAAATACAAAATACTACACCTAGTAAAAGAAAACAAAAACAAGGTACACATTCACAGTCAAGTGAGAAGTCAACTAAGAATTCTACTATTCAAAGTGAAATAACCATAACAAAATATCCCGTTAAGAAACAAGAAAGCAAATTAGAGAAGGAAAAGGATAGTATAAAGAAGAGAAAATTATGTATTCTAAATGGCTGCAACTACAACGGCACACTAAGTATTATAGAGCGCACATTTGAAGAAAAATTTAACTACTGTCAATTTATGAAACGTAACAGCAGTTTGAAAGAACTCATGTCAGACATCAAGAACAAGATCTATAATTTTGATGAAGAAGATTATTGTATAATTATGATTGGAGAAAGTGACTTTAAAAAGAATGTGGATCCAATTGAATTAGTCAGATTAATTAGAGAAACCCTAATAGAAATAAGTAACACAAATATAATTTTATGTACCCCCACATATGTACTAGGAGCCCCTATATATAATTACCGAGTAGAAATATTTAATAATTTACTTTATATGGACATTGAAAATTATAAATATGCATATTTCTTTGATACTAACTACGACTTAACTTATGAAATGTTGTCGAATAAAACAGGCAAAATTAACAGATTAGGTATAAAATGTATATTTGTAAGTATCTTTAAGCGTATTCTTGTTGACTTAGAAACTGAATTCAATTCGCCAACATTAATAACCACTGACAGTGTCAAACAAAACAGTCTTTTTCGGTCCATCTAGTAAGACATCTCTTGATAACATACAACAATTTATATTATTTCACCAGAATATAGCAGGCATATTAAACAAAATAGAGCATTTTGAAATAGTAATGACCGATTTGAGGAAGCATATTGGAGATATAGACTTTATTTGCTTTAGCGAAACCTTTTTAAAATCTGGTCATGAAGGCAACCTACATTTAGAAAATTACAGTTTAGCTGCTAATTTCTCAAGACAGGATAAAAAACGGGGTGGGACATGTATACTAGTAAAAAAAGGTATATATTTTACTCCGTTGTCAGTAATTAATGATTTTGCGACAACATATTGTTTTGAATGTTGCGGTATAGAAGTGCCGAGTTATAATCTTTATGTAATTTGTATTTATAGAACACCAGATTCCGACACATCTATTTTTTTTTAAAAATCTAGAACTTGTATTATTCAAATTAACTCTTAATAGTAAAAAACATATCGTTATATGTGGAGATTGGAACATAGACGTTCTCAAAGAGAATACACAGAAAAAAGGAATTAATATCAGTCTTCAAGAACTTTAATTTGCTAACTCACATAAACTTACCTACTAGAAGAAAATCTAGTATTGACCAAATAGCCAGTAATATTTCAACCAATAATGTGAATACTAATATACATAACTTAGCTCTCTCGGACCATGATACAGGTCAATCATTAATTTTCTATCTTCCAAAAAATAACAATAATGTTAAATCAATAAAATTTTGGTATGAGACTGTGAGAGATTTCAATGAAAATAACATTAATAAATTTCTAGAATGCATAACAGCTTTAAGTTTTGATGAAGTATACAGAGAAACATGCTGCAACAAGTCGTTTAACGTTTTTCATGACCTTTATACTCTTTTTTTCAAATTGTGTTTTCCCGTAATACGCGTTAAGAAAGGCAATAAACCTGTAAAAAAATAAATGGATAAGTAAGGGATTAAAATTATCGTGCATTAAAAAAAGAACATTATATTATAAATATATACATGATGCTATAAGCAAAAACTTTCACAAGAAAAATTATCTTATATATTCTAAAATATTAAAGAAATGTATATCAAAATCTCAACGAATAAATAATGATAAATATATTTTTAACTCTAAAAATAAATGTAAAGCGACATGGTCTATTATAAAACATAATTTTGATAGTTCTGTTGATAAAAGTAATATTGAAAACTTAGTTTACCAAGATAAAACTATTAATAACCCTAATGATATATGTAACCTTATTAACAACTATTTTATTGAACTTACTCATAAAGATAATTTTGATGAATTGAATAATGAATAACATTAATATTCCCGCTCAAAGAGATAGCTTGTTTTTAACCCCAGTAACCGACACTGACGTTATGAAAATTATTAACACTTTGAATGATACACACGCTACCGGTTATGATGAACTCACAACAAGAATAATTAAATTAAGTGCTAAACATATAGCAATTTCTCTGAGTTACATAATTAATTTGTCGTTAGAACAAGGAATATTTCCTACAAGACTAAAAATATCCGTAATTAGACCTCTATTTAAAAAAAGGTGATCGTACAAACATTGATAATTATAGGCCTATCACATTAATACCAATAATGGCAAAAATTTTTGAAAAAGTAATGCATGATAAAATTAGTAATTATATTAATAAGAATAAAATTCTTGTTGACAATCAATTTGGATTTAGAAAAAGTAGTTCCACTACACTAGCTTGCTTTAATTTAGTTAAGCTGGTCACAGAAGCACTTAATAACAAAATGTCGACAATATCAATATTTCTAGATATGAGCAAAGCATTTGACTTTGTCTCGCATAAACGATTACTTTTCAAACTTGAGAGGTATGGAATTAGAGGAAAGTCACATGATTGGTTTAAAAGCTATCTGTCGAATCGCCAGCAAAGAACGTTACTCTCAAAAATAGAAAATAATTCGAAAGTTACATATGAATCTGAACTTAAACCTAATAGTTGTGGTGTGCCGCAGGGCAGCATTCTAGGGCCATTTTTATTCATTATTTATATTAATGATCTCTGTAGTAACCTAAAACATAAATGCACATTGTTTGCTGACGACACTACACTAACCATAAGCTGTTTAAACAAAAATAATCTCGAATTTGAAACTAATAATGAGTTACAAAATGCAGTGCAATGGCTACAAGAGAATAATCTACATGTCAATTTAAATAAAACTAAATTAATACAGTACCAAACTCTAAATTCAAAGTGCCACCCTGTTAAAATACAATATAATAATACTGTTTTGCAACCAGTACAATCTACATTATTTTTAGGTATAATTATTGATGGTAAATTGAACTGGAAAGAACATGTAGATAAAGTGTGTAGTAAACTCGATAAATTTGTATTTGCTCTTCGCAAACTAAGACTCACAGCCAGTAAAGAAACAGTCCTCAGTGCATATCATGGGTACGTCTCTTCAGTACTTCGCTATGGATTAGTTATATGGGGTAATTCAGTGAATATAGGCAGGGCGTTTAAAGCACAAAAAAAAAAAATGTATTAGATCCATGTGTGGCGCTAATTATTTAGATCATTGTAAGCCATTATTTCAAAAATTAAAGATACTTCCACTGCCCTGTCTCTACATTTTTGAAATATGTTTGTTCGTTAAGAGATATTCCTATCTATTTCCAATAAATGAACGTGTTTCCAAGAGGATCCAAGACAGAAACCCAAACCAATTGGTGGCACCATCCCAAAGACTTTATTTGTATAGTCGTAATGCCCACTGCATGGCAATAACAATCTTTAATAAGCTGCCACCACAGATTAGACAGTTGCCTATAAATAAATTTAAACGTGCAATATTTTCTTGGCTCTTGGATATGTGTTTTTATTCTGTTAACGATTTCATAGATTATAAATTTATAAATTATACATAAATGAATGCTCCCAATATTGTATTAATAATAATAATAATATATATCTACAATTGATAATTCCTATATAATGTTATAAATGTATAAATTTGTCTAAATAAGTACTATAAAGTGTTAAATATTATTCTAATTGTAATATTTCTACACCGGATACGGTAGTATATGTGAATCATTCTATAATTTCAACATCTGTAATTACCATATACTAAGAAATAAACGATATTCTATTCTATTCTATTCTATTCTAATAAAAGGTAGAAAATTCGCCAAAACTATTTTTTTTTTGATTAATTAGATGAACACAATCTCTAGCTAATGTCATTAGGAGACTAGGCTCCAACAGTTGTCTTCTACTTAAACTTATGTTAATCACAACACTACTCTAGCGCGGCCGACCGACGACCGAGCGCCGCACGCGATCTACCGCTGACGAGTCGCCGAACGTCACGCCGTCCCGCTACCGCCATCGCTCGACCGTCGCTAATTGTGTCTGCAGCCTTAGACGGAAAATGAAACTGTAGTCTCCAGCAGATATTACAGTATTTAGGCAACTGAACAGATAGATCTGCAAATGCATGCGGCGAGACTTACGCAACTTCAATACAGCTTGTATTGAAGAAGCGTTTGTGTGAAATTAGTGCTCCAAAGTCTTTGTCGAGATCCCTCTGACGGGAAGAGACAACTATTGAAGAAGTGTGTGTTTATAGTCAGGTAGCTTTATGTATAATTATTGTCACAATTTCCTTTCGATAGCTTGACTACTTGGCTGCACGTGAATATCCCCAAGCCCTATCATATAAATATAGATAGATAAATTAGATAAGTACGGGACGCTTGCACCATGAGACCTAAGGTAACAGATGGACAGACACTGGATGTCAGGGTTAGACGCGCACAATCATTTCAGTCAGGTTCGAAAGGTAATTTTAGTAATGGATCAAATTGGAAGTGGCTTAAATGAAACTAAGTTCTACGGATTTTATCGTGTATATTAACTTATGTTTCCCGACGGTCTGACTACTTTACAGCACTCGTGGTCACGGAGGGTTAGTTTCATTTAAATGTGTAGTATTTGTGTACACATTAGAAATAGTTTGCCTGGATTATTTGTTTATTAGCTCGTTTTTTATGTGAGACAAATGTGTGTATGCGCAGGCACTACGCGGCGCGGGAGGGCGCGGCGGCGGGCGCGGGGGGCGGGCGGCGAGCCGCGGCCCCCCGCCGCCCCCCACGCCCCCCACGCCCCCGCCTACCAGCTGGCGCCACTCGACTCCGGTAAATAATTTCCTCCAATCATCAAGTCCAAAAATGCAGCCGGAATGTAGGCACGGTCACCACTATTAGCAGAGACTAGTTTATTTGCGCAGCAGGAGTGTAGTGGCCGAGTGCACGCTCACACACGGGCGCACTCTTGCTTCCTTTACTCTCGTAGTCCGATGGGACAACAGGCATGACTGGAGAGAGAGATCAGGCGCAGGACCAATGGCTTACGTGCTTTCCGAAGCACGCGCTCCTACTAAGAATTTCTTGACAGATAACTGATTTTTGACCCGATCCGGGATTCGAACCCAAGATCTCATTATCAGCAACCGCGTTTAACACAACTACCAGACCATGACTGAGATCACAGACCGCAGCTACGCCGCCATCTCGACACTGTCGAAATTTAACCCGACAGATTTTCATTTCTTATATTGAACCGCGCCGAGTGGCCATCCTGACGAATAGGATAATCCCGGAGCCTGGTCTCATTTAAACAAATAACCAAACCAGGCCAAAAATAGAGATGATTCTCTTTATTTGGCGTGGTCTGCTTATTTGCCCAAATGATACCGTTTTGATATCTCCACTATGATTACTGCCGCCCACCGTTAAACGGTAGATTTTCGCATCGCAACTTACTAAAAGTTTCATGTTCCCGAGTAAGTTTTACATGTGGTAGAGCCACGCTGCAACTATGGGTCAGCTCGACCGGGGAGGGACACGCCTCTGTTGTATTTCGTAGGGCGACAACAGAAAATCTCATAAACAGCGTCTGCATTTTGATTCTTAATCATAGATAGATGGAGACGTCTATGGGCAACAGCATCCACTTACTGTCAGGTGGACTGTGTGATCGTTTGTCGATGAATCAATAAATCCATTTGATTATATTAAATATATTAAATGTTCGATTAGCAGTAATTGCTATCCTATATAACAGAGACCGGCAAGCTTGAGGAAGGTTCACCAGAGGGATCGCCCCAAATTTACTGGCAGCTCGACATCGACCCGCAAAAACTTACGCAGTGGAACTTAAATTTACGACTCGTGAGTATGGAATTATATATTTACGTCGTCCAAAATTGCTACGCTTCTTCAGCGACATCCGTAATAATCGCAGATGTCGTAGGTCGTTTGCTCGTAATCTAGCTAGTATATTATTATTATATAGTATAATATTCTCTTAATACTCATGTTCTTTTACATTTCAACATTTTATTTTATTCTTTTTTTCTTCATAGGTATATTTACTTCATTCTTAGTTAACCATTTTTTATTTTCCATTTTTATCTATACCTAGCACTTTGGCTATTCATTACATATGTCATTTCTTTCACGTACACGGCTCGCGTACATACATGATGAAGAAAATGACCGATATCATTTAATTCACTTCTTTACATTTCATCTCACGTAATTCCTTATTTAATTGTACCATAACTTTCACGTACACGGCTTGCGTACATACATGATCAAAAAAATACATTAAAACTTATTCCGCATTTAATCGTGTCCGAACAACCTTATAAAATTAATCGGCTTTAGGTTTTCCAAACTCTCAGCTCATCAGGCTGTTTTCGGGCAATAAAAAAACTGCTACAATATAAGAAGGTAAATTTTGACAGACAACTAACGATCGTAATAGCTCAGGTGGGATGTCGGTCGCGCGTGATGTCGGAGTTCCGTGGTTCGCGTCTCGTCTTGGGTCCGACTTTTTTTCCTTTTTTTTTTCAAATTCCCTTCTTTTGTGAGAAAATCTATTATTTCGAGCCCTTTTTTTTAGTAATTTTTAAAAATAAGAAAAATTTTAATTAAACTAATTGCACTCATGATTTTCATTCAAATAACCAGTTCAGTTTTTTCTATTATGTCAATAAGATCAAAAAATATTATTCATGTAATTTGTATCTAAATGTAACTTAAAAAAAACCGAGCAAAGCTCGGTCATCCGGGTACTATATAATTATATGTTACGTAACTTAGCCATATATTTAATCGCATCTTTTACTTTATATTATAAAATTATCACGTATAATATTTAGTTACAGTGTCAGTCAGTTATGTAATGAGTTTCAAAATTGTACAAAGCGAAGAAAACATTTTCATAATCCATACAAGTAAGTACTATTTTCCGAGAAAATAATAAATTATAATAGTTAAAAGCTTGAGATGTAAAAGTTCGGACAATATAACACCGAAAATAAATTAACATAGCATATGAAAATGAAAAGAACAAAGAAATAAAAACGAGAAAATAAGTCATCATTACTACCATAACAACAGACAGATCAAAATACAAATTGTAATCCTAGCAGCGCAAACAATTTGAGACACCTTCCTTTACTTTAAATTCCATAGCACGTAGAAGGCTACGTTTGCAATTACATCGGACTATGATCACAAGGTGTGGTGATTCATACCTAACTTTAAGTAACTTGCATAATATGTTATAATATAAATGCAAGTAAAATATACTTAAAAACTTGGAACAGATATTTAGAAATACTTACATTGTTAATAATAAAATATTACTTTTACATAGATATAAAATTTTACATAGAAGTATGACATTTATACCGTATACAAAAAAACTATCGAATTCACTATAACAGCTATCAACTTTACACAATGATACAATAATTTATCTTAAAGTTCAAAATAACAATTTTAATATTTTAAGTTGGTAATTATATTATAAATTTAAGTTTAATTAACTAAATAATCAATTAACTAACTTTTAGAAAAGAAAAAAAACTAAAACTTATAATTTAGTAGATTGAAACTAATGATGCTATCCAAAAAAACAACGGAATCTGTTACTAATGTGTTACAACAACAAAACGTGAAAAAATTATTAATAGTAATAATAATAATAATAATAATAATCTTTATTTCGGACCAAAATTAATCCATAGTAGTGTTAGTAACAATTGACTTATAAACTAGTGTTAGTAAACATTAAAGTATGGATAAACTTTTTCAAAATCGGAGAATTATAGTTCTCCGCTACTGTTTTCAAAATGCTGTTGTGACTGTCTCTCACCCTTCTACGCAGCGAAGCAGTTTTCTTACGTATTATCGCATGAAAGCCGTCCGTGCGAGCTTGCGCAAACATCTCCGACGCACTACAGTATCGAGGCAGTGCCAACAACATTCTGAAAGCATTATTATATTGAACACGCAGGGCATCCAGCGACCTTTTAGTGTAATTCATCCATAGATTGCTCGTGTACAGACTCTGGCAGTATGCCTCAAATAGGGTAATTTTAACTAGGTCCGTACGTCGAGCAAATCTACGGGCCAGCAAGTTACTCCTGACCGCTAGAGCCCTGCGTTCCCTCTCAATATCTACATTGTCTTTCAGGTCATCGGCAAGAAAATGACCTAGATATTTAAAGGACGTCACTTTTTTAATTTTTGACCCATTCAAGAACAGGTCAGGTTCATCAGTCCTAGGCTTGCCCCTGACCCTAAAGACAATGTACTCACATTTTTTGACATTATATACCAAACCATGCGACTCAGCATATGCTTCACACACCTTCAGTAACTCTCTTACTGCCCTCATCGACAGTCCCAGCAGCACCATGTCATCTGCATAGCTGATGTTGTTAATACTAACCCCACCAACACTGCATCCTACACGCTTGCTGCTGAGCTCGCCTATGAGAGCATCTATATATAGGTTGAATAATCTGGGAGACGTTAGACCCCCCTGCCTTACCCCGCATTCCAACCTATACGGTTCACTAAGAGTATCGTCCCATTTCACATGATTTATTTGTTTACTGTACCAATATTTGAGCAGACGACAGGACTCGCGGCAGGTGAAATCCAGCGTGCTTCAGGTGCTCAATGCTGAGCCCGTCGTGTCCTGGAGACTTACCTCGACTCATACCTTTTATGATACTGCGTATCTGTTTAGCACAAATATGCACAAGAGGTTCCTCTCCCCCACAAGCGGTCTCGGCACTACCCACCTGTGTTGTGGGCCCAAGTGAAGATTGTACTTTAAAATGTTCCATGAACATATTAGCGATGTCACTGGGTTCACTAATTTCTTCCACGCTCGTAGCAAGACTAGGCTTGGTGTCCAACTTACTGGTCGACTTCCAGAAATTTTTAAAGTCCCTATTTGCTCTTTGTTGAGCTAATTTATCCATTTTGATTTGCTCAGCATTTTTCTGACAATATTTGAGTTTACTCTTAAAAATTTTTCAATTTTCACTCATTTCATCATAAATAGGACCAGATAAGGGACGACTACTGAGTACCCAGGCCTTAAAACTACATCTGGCCTCATAGTGAGCGTCTTTTACATAGCTGTTCCACCCACATACGTGCTTACCCCGCCTTGGTCCCCCCTTACAAGTCACTCTGGATTCCTTAGCCGCCTCAGATAATATACTAACAATCTGTTCATACAAATTATCTAATACGACCCTATGTTCGGCCAAGCCACAGAAGCCATTTGCACAGTTTGTAAACTCATGAGGAAAGTCAATGTCCCGCAATTTGCTATTACAAAGGTTTTGGTAACATTGCGTTTCTACATTTGTTCTATCACCCCATAAGACCAGGTTTTTATCATGACTTTTAACTGTCCGTTTAGGCCTGACCACCTCTAAGTTATATTCTAAATATATTGGTAAGTGATCAGAAATGTAAACATCTTCGGAGGCACCTACACTCTTCCGTAGTCCGCACAGTCCGTAGGCATATAAACAGAAAAGACAATAATATTGCGACCCCCAGTCGTGGCTGTAATGCCCACTAATCGAGAGCTACTACAGTTTATAACAGAAACTGACTCAAAAATACCCTTCCTCCAGAGAATGGCAACCCCCCCATGAGGTCTTCCTCTCAATAATCCCTCCGAGGTGTCTACTGCAGACTTACCCGTATATTCAAAGTCACGACTAATCGAGCTTAGGAAAGGAACATCATGTGGGAGTAGCCACGTCTCCTGAAGAGCGACCACATCTGACCACATACATATGCCCCTAATATCATCTATAGAACGCTTAGCTGACTTACAGTTAAAACTTGTAAATGTTAGAAACTTTTTTATGGTTTCACTACACATTGTTTAATAAAAGTATGTGGCTAACTAACTCGAATTAGATTGCCTATCTTTAGTTCTGTACATAAAATGCACAAAACGCCTAAAACAATTCCGTTTGGCCATAACTCATCGTTTAAAAACATGTCTATCTTATGCTTTGACACATACAGTTTAAACGCATTGTATTTTCTAATAGACTTAATATTTATCTTTTTTAACGATACAATTTCATTCGTTTTTTCTTTTATGTACTGAACAATGTCATCTTCATTTGCTTCCGTACTTACATTCGATATCAACAAAGGCACTTTTATGTCCGCAGCTTTAAATTTATCATCCGGATCAGTTATAGCTCTGCCTTTTCGACTAACCAATCTGTTTTGTTTTGAACGCTTGTTTTGCACTAACTTCCATTCCGTGTTCGCATTATTCACAGGCCTTTGCTCACTATTCACTCTCACTTCACACAAACTCGCACGTTGTACCGCCGCCTTTGAGGCCCAAGAAGCCTCACTTAAACCAGATCCCGCCGATACTGGTACCGCTCGCTGACCGTTGGTAGGGGATTGCGACAGAATCGCACCGGTTTGTTCTACAACTAGTTTCTTTTCAATTTTCTCGCTCACACACAGTATATCCGATGAATTGTCTTCTCGTTTCTACTTATCAGAGCAATCTGTCTCACGTTCCTGGTCTTTTAAGACAGGGACGGCACTGTTTTTATCGCACTGATCAAGTGTTTTTGATAATAGTTCCGTTTTCCGAGTTACCCTTTGAATCAGCTGTTCCTCGCGATTGTTGTATAGGCACGTAATGAAGGCCTATAGGCCCACTATCACATTCAAGACTGTTTTGTAAACACGCTCCTCTTCTTGTGTTTATATATATATTATGTTTCATATCATGTACTTCCTGTTTGAGTAATTCAAATTTTTCAGTAGTAACTGATGCTTTTTCTAACTCACTAACCTTGTACTGAAGC